CTTAATCCCGACACCCAACTGAGTCGGGTAGAACTTGGTCTTGAGTTCGACCACGACCAGGGCCAAGGCACATTTGCCGGCCAACCTCCTCCAAACGTTCCCGACCGCAATCGGTCTGACCCCTCCGTCTTTCTTATTTAAAGCTATTAGCCGGCCTCCAAAAAAGAACCGGCGGACGGAGAGTGGGCAAGCTCCAGATAGGATCAAATTAATGAATTGGGTTAAGGAGTTCAGTGTGTCGTCAATTGGCAAGGGGCCTGAAAAAACATCCTTAAGGTGCTGGGGTCGTAGGCCATCCAGGCCTCCAGAAGAACCGTTTTTGAAAGATTTAACGGCCCTCAGCACCTCGGCGGAAGAAACGCAACCAGCCGTTGGTGTCAATGCGGGAAAGACCCGCCTGTCCACCGGAATTTTTGGGTGGATAGAACATAATTTATCGAAGGTGGCCGGCGAGCTCTCCGCCAGGCCCTCCGGCGAACAGACAAGTCTGACCGCCGAGGACAGGTTTCCCTGTTCAATACAAGATGACACAGCGTTGATCCATCGATCGGGGTTGTGCTTTTGTGATTTGGCATTATTGAACCCATCAAAGCACAGTACCAGGGTTTCAAGACCAATAGTTGAATATTCGCTTAGACGGTTGTTGACCAGATTGCCCTGGTTGACCCGGCGACCTCCTCTGGAAGTCTTCTGTAAGACGTATGGGACAAAACAGTGGAGTCTAACCCAGTGAGCCGGGTCACCAGGGTTGTTACAAACAGCCGTCAGCAAGGCGTTCAGATCATGTGCGAACTTCTCCCTGCATGGCTTAGGGATATGGTCGTACACCGGTACACATTTCAGCACGGCCGTCAGCTTATCAAAAACACCTGAGTAATCCAGGCCGAGAGGATCACCGGAGACCGATGCGGCGGACGACCGTGTGGGCAGCCCAGGCTTGGGGTCGGGTGCGGCACCGAGAGGCGAAGCAGCCCTCGCGCCCGATTGATCAACTTTTTTCCGGGACCCCGAGCATTCCTGTCCTTTCACTTTACCTCCGTGCCGACATAACTTCCCGTCTGGAGTGCTTCTATAGTGGTTAAAGCAGACGGGGCACTGTTGTAACGTTGGAGCCATATGTGATTAAAAACAACCAAGAAACGAGGGAAAGGAAACAAACCAAGTGGGGTGGATGGATGAATGAATGGATGAACAAGCGAATGACCAAAGGAACGGGCCAGCGAACAAACGGATGAATGAGTGAATGATGGGGGAATGAATGAGCTAATTACTGAACGGACGAGTGAGGGAAAAAAAGAATGAATGAGTGAGTGAATAAATAAATGAATGAATAAACAACCGAACGAATGGATGAATGAATGAATACATGAATGAGTGACGGAATGAATGAACGAGCGAACGGATGAATGACTGAATTATCTTTAAATATTTAACCAGTGTTTCAACTTTTATTTATATATTTTTTTTTTCT